TCTCACCTGATCTATCGTATGATTTAGTCTTCTTTTTCCTTCTCATTCATCACTTGATAATGGTCCAGGATGAACCAAAATGTCTCCTAAAGTTTCCTCTGCAAATTGTGAACGAGTTGTAAATTTTCTCAGCCACGGTATTATGACTCGTTGCTTTCCTCTAATTCTACTATGAATGATACTTGAATCATCTATTTCAACATTTAACATTTACCAGAATTTGGCAGAGAATACACAGCATTTTCTGGCATGAATGGCAGTTTTATTTTTTTTGAGTGAAGTGAAAATTGGCACTTACAGAACTCCCACTCATGATGACTCCAGCACTATACAAATACAGTATAAGTTCCCTCTTTTTCTTTTTAGTAAGCTATATGGGAAAAGGGGTTACTAGCCCACTGTTCCAGGCATTTTAGTCGATTTTTACAACACGCATGGCATGCTGAGATAAGATTCTTATTCCACTTCCCCATGGATATAAAATGAAAAATACTAAGAACAAGAGCTATTAAGATAAAATCAAAGAAAACTCAGATGAGTGCGTATACATAAACATGTACATGTGTGTGTAGTGTGACCTAAGTAAGTAGAAGTAGCAAGAGTACCTGAAATTTTGCACGTTTATGAGAAAGAAAAAAAAAGACACCAGCTATCATCATGTAAAACAAATACAGGCTTCCTTTTTACACTCGCTTGGTAGAATGGTAATATCTCCCTGAATGATTGCTGTCTACCAACCTACTACCTTATTTTGCTGTAAAGAGTTTTTATGAGGATAGCGAGGCTCAGGTTAGGGTGTAGGAGAGAGGGAGATTACTTCCCGGTAAAAGTAGGTCTTCGACAGGGATGTGTAATGTTACTATTGTTGTTTAATATATTTATAGATGGGGCTGTGAAAGAAGTAAATGCTAGGGTGTTGGGGAATGGGGATGGATTAAATTATGAGGCATCAAGTACAAAATGGGAGTTGACAAAGTTACTTTTTGCTGATGATAATGTGCTTAGGGGAGATTCTAAAGAAAAGTAGCAAAGGTTTGTGGACGAGTTTGGGAGGGTGCGTAAAGATAGAAAGTTAAAAGTGAACATAGATAAGAGTAAGGTGATGAGGGTATCAAACAATTTAGATAAAGAAAAATTGGATATCACATTGGAGAGGGAGTATGGAAGAAGTGAACGTTTTCAGATACAGTGGACCCCCGCCTTACAATATTACATATTTCATTCCAGAAGTCTGTTCGGTTGCCGTTACCGAACGAATTTGTTCCCACAAGGAATATTGTGAATTAGATTAGACCGTCTCAGACCCCCAAAAATACACATACAAAAGCACTTACAAAAATACACTTACATAATTGGTCGAGTTGGGAGCTGATCGTAAGGCAGGGATCCACTGTATTTGGGAGATGGCATGTCAGTGGATGGGTTTATGAAGGATGAGGTTAATCATAGAATTGAAGGAAAAAAGGCGAGTGGTGCACTGAGGTATTTGCGGAGACAAAAAAACATTATCCATGGAGGCAAAGAAGGAAATGTGTGAAAGTATAGTGGTACCAACACTCTTATATGGGTGTGAAGCTTCGGTTGTAAATGCTGCAGCGAGGAGGCAGCAGGAGGCAGTGGAGATGTCCTGTCTAAGGGCAATGTGTGTGGTGTAAATATTATGCAGAAAATTCAGAGTGGAAATTAGGAGAAGGTATGGAGTTAATAAAAGTATTAGTCAGAAGGCTGAAGAGGGGTTGTTGAGGTGGTTTGGTCATTCAGGGAGAATGGATCAAAGTAGAATGACTTGGAGAGCATATAAATCTGTAGGGAAAGGAAGGAAGGCAGGGCAGGGGTCGTCCTTGAAAAGGTTGGAGGGAGGGGGGGGGGGTAGAGGTGGGAGGGAGGAGGGTAAAGGTTTCATGGGCGAGGGGCTTGGACTTCCAGCAAGCATGCGTGAGCGTGTTAGATAGGAGTAAATGGAGACGAATGGTATTTGGGACCTGACGAGCTGTTGGAGTGTGAGCAGGGTAATATTTAGTGAAGGGATTCAGGGAAACTGGTTATTTTCATATAGCTGGACTCGAGTACTGGAAATGGGAAGTGCAATGCCTGCACTTAAAGGAGGGGTTTGGGATATTGGCAGTTTGGAGGGATATGTTATACATGTTAATATATGCTTCTAAACTGTTGTATCTGGGCGCCTCTGCAAAGACAGTGATTGTGTATGAGCGAGGTGAAAGTATTGAATGATGATTAAAGTATTTTGTTTTTTGGGATTTTCTTCCTTTTTGGGTCACCCTCCCTCGGTGGGAGATGGCCGACTTGAAAAAAAAAAAATACATACTATAAGCATCTTCAAGCAGATTTTTCCTCACCATCATTATTTTATTATTATTATCACACTAGCCGATTCCCACCAAGGCAGGGTGGCCCGAAAAAGAAAAACTTTCACCATCATTCACTCCATCACTGTCTTGCCAGAAGGGTGCTTTACACTACAGTTTTTACACTGCAACATTAACACCCTTCCTTCAGAGTGCAGGCATTGTACTTCCCATCTCCAGGACTCAAGTCCGGCCTGCCGGTTTCCCTGAACCCCTTCATAAATGTTACTTTGCTCACACTCCAACAGCACGTCAAGTATTAAAAACCATTTGTCTCCATTCACTCCTATCAAACACGCTCACGCATGCCTGCTGGAAGTCCAAGCCCCTTGCACACAAAACCTCCCTTACCCCCTCCCTCCAACCTTTCCTAGGCCGACCCCTACCCCACCTTCCTTCCATTACAGACTGATACACTCTTGAAGTCACTCTGTTTCGCTCCATTCTCTCTACATGTCCGAACCACCTCAACAACCCTTCCTCAGCCCTCTGGACAACAGTTTTGGTAATCCCGCACCTCCTCCTAACTTCCAAACTACGAATTCTCTGCATTATATTCACACCACACATTGCCCTCAGACATGACATCTCCACTGCCTCCAGCCTTCTCCTCGCTGCAACATTCATCACCCATGCTTCACACCCATATAAGAGCGTTGGTAAAACTATACTCTCATACATTCCCCTCTTTGCCTCCAAGGACAAACTTCTTTGTCTCCACAGACTCCTAAGTGCACCACTCACCCTTTTCCCCTCATCAATTCTATGATTCACCTCATCTTTCATAGACCCATCCGCTGACACGTCCACTCCCAAATATCTGAATACATTCACCTCCTCCATACTCTCTCCCTCCAATCTGATATCCAATCTTTCATCACCTAATCTTTTTGTTATCCTCATAACCTTACTCTTTCCTGTATTCACTTTTAATTTTCTTCTTTTGCATACCCTACCAAATTCATCATCATGTTTTATCAAATTATTATCCTGGCAATCAAGCAAATTTACAAGCAACCAAAAAAGCCGTTCCCTTTACATTTATATGAGGAACAAACCAGTAGATGTCAAAAATGCTACTGAAATACATAAGTGTAAAAGTTTTAAGAGGAAATGAAGCCCTACCTCTGCCAAGTGCTAGGTCAACCAGATTGTGATGGCTATGTGGGCCAGCAAGCTGCTAATAGGAACAACCTGGTTGAACATGTAATCAATAGAAAAGCCTGATCCCAAGCCAGGTTACAAGGGTAACCTACATTTTCAAATCTATGATTTAAAATAGCTACCCATTTAATAGAGAAGGTACATAGTAAAATCATAAAAGACAAATACAGCCTCTCCTCACATAACGATGGAGTTCCTTTCCTATGACCACGTCTTTAAACGAATTCATCACTAAGTGAGGAGCATGTACTATAATGGTAGTGGGTTTGTGTCAACCATCTATGGTATTGTTTTAATGTCATTGCATCATTTATAACATTTCTGGTATATTTTAAATGTTTATACAGTAGTGTACTGTATACTGAAACAGAATAGAGGAAATCAGTTGTACTATATTACATTATTTAGGCATAAATACTGGTCAGAGAGCCCGTCATAAGTCCGAGTACATCACTAAGCGAGGAAAGGCTGTATTTACAAAATTCTCCCAGGAATTCAACAATGCTTCAAGAGAAATAACCTGGCATACTACATTTTATTGCAGTAGCTTTCCATTTGCATAAAAATGGATTTAGTAAATTCTTATACAAGTAGGGGTCGGCCTAGGAAAGGACCCCTTCCTAGTGGAAGTAGTGGAAGGAAGGCAGGGTAGGGGTCGGCCTAGGAAAGGTTGGAGAGAGGGGGTAAAGGAGGTTTTGTGCGCGAGGGGCTTGGACTTCCAGCAGGTATGCATGAGCGTGTTTGATAGGAGTGAATGGAGACAAATGGTTTTTAATACTTGACGTGCTGTTGGAGTGTGAGCAAAGTAACATTTATGAAAGGGTTCAGGGAAACCGGCAGGCCGGACTTGAGTCCTGGAGATGGGAAGTACAGTGCCTGCACTCTGAAGGAGGGGTGTTAATGTTGCAGTTTAAAAACTGTAGTGTAAAGCACCCTTCTGGCAAGACAGTGATGGAGTGAATGATGGTGAAAGTTTTTCTTTTTCGGGCCACCCTGCCTTGGTGGGAATCGGCCAGTGTGATAATAATAATAATAATTATACAAGTAACAAATGAGAAGGAAATGTGGACAAATAAAATGGCACTAGAGTTCTGCAGATGGGCAGTGATGGGAAACATTTCATTTCAGAAGTTCATTTGAACTGTGACGGCTGTGCACTTCTGGCAATACCATTATGGATGAAGTGATGATGGCATGTGTTTCCTTCTATGGGCTGCCCTACCAAAGTGGGAGACTTGAAAAAAAACAGGGTAGGGATGGAAGAAATGGAACAGATCAACAAGATGCACTGCAATGTGAGTAACCAAAGAGTAAAGCCATCAGAGAAAGATAGATAATCCCTTTTACTTCCCCAAAGTATCACTTCTAAGGATTATGTAAGCCAGCATGCCTACTACCAAATTTTATATCAACTGGTCTAAAAGAAAAATGTGCAAAATATTAGGTGCATCTTTAATCTACTATACTAACAGACTGGTCCCTCTGTAGGCAGAGTTGCAGGACCAGTGGAGAATTGTGCAGGATCAGAAGTCAGCAGCAAGGTAGAGACTTCAGCAGATGGTGTGCCAACTTCTGACAAGGACAGTGCATCACCTGAATGAGATGGCAAAGACTCAACAGCTGCAGTCTGTCGTGGGGGCAAGAGAGTAATGCTTGAAGTGACGTGGTCATGTTGACTCTTTTGCAACTGCAGCTGGAGTTGCTCACAGCTTCGACTTAACTGTTCTATGTCCTTCAACAACGATTGCTTTTCCTTTGCAGTATCATCAGTCTGTCAAGAAAAACTTAAACATGAAAATGTTGCAAATAATTATATTATTTATATACAGAATTCACACACTGATAAATAGCTGGGTTATAATTGCATTAATTACTAAAACTAAACTTCTTACTTTTTCCTATTAACCTGTACCATTAAGTAATGAGTTCTACAACAAACCACAGGTTTAATGCATTCCGTGACTAACATCGTATGTGCAGGCTATTTGTGTATACAAAGTGTATACTGTGCTCTTGGGAGATTCTGAAGAGAAGTTGCAGAGATTGGTGGATGAATTTGGTAGGGTGTGCAAAAGAAGAAAATTAAAAGTGAATACAGGAAAGAGTAAGGTTATGAGGATAACAAAAAGATTAGGTGATGAAAGATTGGATATCAGATTAGATGGAGAGTGTATGGAGGAGGTGAATGTATTCAGATATTTGGGAGTGGACGTGTCAGCGGATGGGTCTATGAAAGATGAGGTGAATCATAGAATTGATGAGGGGAAAAGGGTGAGTGGTGCACTTAGGAGTCTGTGGAGACAAAGAAGTTTGTCCTTGGAGGCAAAGAGGGGAATGTATGAGAGTATAGTTTTACCAACGCTCTTATATGGGTGTGAAGCATGGGTGATGAATGTTGCAGCGAGGAGAAGGCTGGAGGCAGTGGAGATGTCATGTCTGAGGCCAATGTGTGGTGTGAATATAATGCAGAGAATTCGTAGTTTGGAAGTTAGGAGGAGTTGCGGGATTACCAAAACTGTTGTCCAGAGGGCTGAGGAAGGGTTGTTGAGGTGGTTCGGACATGTAGAGAGAATGGAGCGAAACAGAATGACTTCAAGAGTGTATCAGTCTGTAGTGGAAGGAAGGCGGGGTAGGGGTCAGCCTAGGAAAGGTTGGAGGGAGGGGGTAAAGGAGGTTTTGTGTGCGAGGGGCTTGGACTTCAAGCAGGCATGCGTGAGCGTGTTTGATAGGAGTGAATGGAGACAAATGGTTTTTAATACTTGACGTGCTGTTGGAGTGTGAGCAAAGTAACATTTATAAAGGGGTTCAGGGAAACCGGTAGGCCGGACTCGAGTCCTGGAGATGGGAAGTACAGTGCCTGCACTCTGAATGAGGGGTGTTAATGTTGCAGTTTAAAAACTGTAGTGTAAAGCACCCTTCTGGCAAGACAGTGATGGAGTGAATGATGGTGAAAGCTTTTCTTTTTCGGGCCACCCTGCCTTGGTGGGAATCAGCCAGTGTGATAAAAAAATAATAAAAAGTACTATTGGTTGGCCTATCATATAAATTTGTATTATAACTGGAGATGGCTTAGTAGTTTTTATAATTCCTTCAATGAGATGGCTGAGAAGTTCTAATGTTTTATTCAACACTCAACTCTTAACAAGACATTCAGATGTGAAACAAATGTAATAAAATTAATTCCCAAATAGCTAATAACAATGTTTTTCTCAATAACTGTCCATTTTATGAGTTTTTAACGTGATTAAATTCCCAGGTTCCGTAAACTACGACCAATCATTCATGAATGTATTTTATTATCCGAGAAATAGGGCAAATCCTAAATTTTTTGTGTAATGACAAATTCAAAATGGAAGGCAAGTGCAATATAGGAGAGGCCTGAGGAACTGATTAATGGACAAAGGAATATCTACTGTGTTTAATTTGAACAAGGATTTTATTTAACTGTGTAAAATTGGCTAAATATCTGACTTCTGTGCACTTTATGAAGTAGTTTATATATTTGAGCATGTCGTTTCTTGTGCTCAATTGATGGAACGAAAGGCACACTAGTGAAATAGCTAAGAAATTGCTTGAAATGAGCAGTGGAAGTGGTTTAAAATAAAACTCAAAGTGAGTAAAATCACCGAATCTAAATTACGCCTACACCACTAACTTTGCACCCGAGTAATTCCACCAGTTTCATCAAATTTCCTATTTTGGCATCATTACCTTCAGAAAAAGATTTTCTACCATTTCTAGGCACTCATCTTTAATTAAGAATGTCAGTTGTAATCAGAGTATATTTACAGATAAAAAAAAAAAAAGTGAATGACAGGGGATTGGGAAGGGTTTTGGGATTAAAAGATGTTCAACATGATACAAAGTGGAATTATCACTGTTGCTCTTTGCTGATGTCAGTTCTCTTAGATAATTCTGAAGCCAAATTGCTAAGGTTGGTGGAAGAATTTGAGAGGATATGTAAAAGGTAACTGAAAGTAAACGTAGAAGAGAGCAAGGTGATGAGGTTAACAGTCTAGACTGAAGGGAGGGAATATGGAGGAAGTGGACGTAGTTAGATATTTGGGAGTAGACATATAGGGAGATGGATCTATGAAATACAAGGTGAATCAGCATAGACGAAGGGAAAAAAGTATCTTTTTTCGCAACATGATAGATGTCTCTCATCAAGGTATGAAGACCCAAAAATGAAAAACACTTTCACCATCACTCACACAATCATTATTTGTGCAGAGGCACCCAGACATGAGAGTTTAGATGTCACTCCGAACAACCAATATCCCACACCCCTCCTTTAACCCTTCAACGGTCCAAACGTATATATACGTTCACTTACGTAGCGCCCCGAATATTTTGAGGAAAAAAAAATTTTTTTTATAGGAAAAAAGAGCATTTGGTACCCAGGTGTCCAATTTTTTCATATGGTGCGCACTGAATGCACACACTCATTCTCTCATGTCTAGGCAACTCAGGCCTATCGTGCCAATGTTGAATGAATGACAAGGGAAACGTATATATACGTTTGGGGGCGCTACGCGAGAGAACGTATATATACGTTTGGACCGTTTAAGGGCTAAAGTGCAGGCATTGTACTTCCCACCTCCAGGATTCAAGTCAGGCTAACCAGTTTCCCTGAAGTCCTTCACAAAATATTACCCAGAAACCATTCGTCTCCATTCACGTCTATCTAACACGCTAACACAAGCCTGCTGCATGTCCAAGCCCCTTGCACACAAAACCTCTAAAATAAAAAGTTTATCTATGGAAGTAAAATAGGGAATGTACCAAAGTATTGTATGTAGTAGCAACACTCTTTAATGTGTCTGAGGCATGGATTTTGAACAATGTTTGAGAGCAATGTATGGAGTGAATATCGTGCAAAGAATTCAGAGAGCAGACATTAAAAGGCTATATGGGGTTACCAATGGTGTAATTCAGAGATAAGAAAGGGTTGTTGAGGTGGTTTGGCACAGAGAATGGGAGGATAAGATTACAAAGAGGCTGTATAAATCCGAGACAAGGGGCAGGGGTCATCCAAGGAATGGTTAGAGGGAGGGGATTAAAAAGGCTTGGAGTTTTAGTGGCTTGAGCATCCAGCAGACTTGTGAGCATATTAAATAGGGTCAAGTGGTTGTTAATGGCTGTGCTGTTGGAGTGTGATGAGCAAGATAACATTTATGAAGGGATTTAGGGAAACCTGTTAGCTGGACTCAAGTCCTCAAGTGGGAAGGGCAGCGACTACACTCTGAAGGGGTAAAAATATTATATCTGCTCACTTCTGGGAAAACTGTGACTGAATAATAGTGAATGAGTTTGCTTCTTTGGGTCACCCTGCCTTGGCAGATGGCCACTGAAGTAAAAAATATTTAGATATGGCCTCTGAAGCAGCAAACCATTCTTTTACACATCTTTTAAAAAACACGAAACACATGCATGCGCTAGTTCCATCAGATGTTGCTACACGTGCCTCATGGCTTCTATTTTCATATCTTTCTACAATTTAAATTCGAACTCAATGTACAATACAATTAATACATAAGAGATAACTTGTCACAATGATGCTTACAGCTGTGGTGCATTTTCTTTCATATAACCTGAAAAGTATATACAGTGCTCATCACAGCATTATGCCGGGTTAGCACCCTGGCATAATGCCGTGGTGAAAATCAAAGGCCTACCATACAGGGGGGTCTCTTTGTCGGTGCATTTTGCTGGGTAGCAGCCATTAGCATGATGTCATGGCCTGCCGTCACACTTCACAGTGATTTCTCATTGCTCATGTGGTTGCCGTGGTGAGAGGAAGTGTTGCATTGTCTCTCATCTGCTTCAACTTTTGTCTGGTGTTCCCTTTGGTTTTGGGGCTATACATCTTTGATTATGGGTAAAACAAAGTCTAACACCTGAAACTATAGCTCAAATCATAGGGCTTTACAAAGCTAGGCACCAGACATAAGAAATAGTGGAGTATGTTAGTGTGTGTGTGAGCATCCAGTGAGGAACTGGGTGCAGCAATTCCTCTCACCACGGTAGCCATGTGAGCAATGAGAAATCACTGAAGTGTGATGGCAGGCCATGACATCATGCTAATGGCTGCTACCCAGCAGAATGCACTAACGAAAAAAGACCCCCCTCCCATATGGTAGGCCTTTGATTTTCACCACGGCATTATGCCAGGGTGCTCACCCAGCATAATGCCATGACAAGCACTTAGTCTATAATCATTAGACCCAGTGTCCCTCGTCATCTTCCACAATACAATTAAAAGTTACCTTAAGTTTCTGTTTATCTAAAGCCTGCTGAAGAGTGTCTAGCTGATTCTGTTTCTGCTGTCTTTCACGTTTGAATCGTTCAACCTGGAAAATAAAAAGGTAAAGTGTTACGTATTTTTTTATTACAAGAAAGCAATAATGCTCAAAAATTAGCAAATTAAAAGTGAAATTTTATTTTTACTCTGATTCTTGTTTATATTTTATTTTTGTTTTACCACATTAGTCATTTCTCAACAAAATAGTTTAGGAAGCAATAATAATGTACAGTACTTACAGTTAACATACTAAATTAGGTTCAAAGTTTATTCAAATCTTTCTAAATGTGTACACAGTACAATCCTTTGAAGATTAAACATGATTTTACTATCCTATCAGTTATTTCCCAAAAGGAAGGGTGGCCCAAAGAAAGCATTCATCAAACTACTACTCCTCTTGCTGCTTTACCAGGAGAGAAAGGTGTCACAGTCCAAGATGAAACCTCCACCCATTCTTTAACCCTTTGAGGGTCCATGCCGTAGATCTACGGCTATACGTTGAGGGTCCAAACCATAGATCTATGTCATGAGCTCAGCTCGCTCTGATAAGCTGTGAGCGGTAAATTTGGGCCTAGATATGAGAGAATACATCTATGTGGTATGTGTGCACCACATAAAACAAATCCTGCAGCACACAGTGCATAACGAGAGAAAAAAGACCGAGACCATAATTTTTTATTAAAACAGCGACTTTGTAGTGTGTTTTTATGGTTATACAGTGGCCCCCCGGTTTACGATCAGCTCCCAATGCGGCCAATTATGTAAGGATGTTTATGTAAGCGCGTTTGTACGTGTATGTTTGGGGGTCTGAAATGGACTAATCTAATTCACAATATTCCTTATGGGAACAAATTCGTTCAGTAATGGCACCTGAACATACATCTGGAATGAAATAATATCGTAAACCGGGGGTCCACTGTATTTGCGATTTCTTGGTCTCATTTGATAGAATGGAAGATATATTACAAAAATAGAGATGATTTTGATTGGCTTTAGTAATGGAAATGGATTGAAACCGAACTCAAAATAACAGAAATGTTAAAATTTTGCCAATGTTTAAGAGTAAATAAATGTTCCCACACGTCTAATACACGCCAGCTGGTGGGTCTAATATACGCTCACAAATGTGGTGATATTATTTTTACAATTATTACAGTATTGCATAACAGTAAATCTTCTATTTTTTGGTTTGAATAAAAATTCATTATGTGAATAAAAAATCAAAATGGAATTCATTTGTAAAGCCTGAAAATATAACTAATGAACAGAGGAAATGTTACTTTAGTTCCAGGAATGCCTGTATTGTTTATTCTGGACCCTATTTTGAAATTAGGATATTTTGAACTTTGCATTAAATTGGCCAAATTACCAATTTCTGATCACTATTTTGTAGTTGAAACAGTTGACTTGGCGATTTCTTGTGCTCAATCGATAGAACAGAAGTAATAATAGTGAAATAGCTAAGAATTTGGTCAACTGGAATAATACAATTGGCCTAAAATGGGAGTCAAATTCGGCAAAATCGCCGATGCGTAAATATTGCTGACCCCATCAAAATTCGCAAGAGCATAATTTCGTCAATTTTCCATCAAATTTCGTACTTTTTGCTTTATTACCTTCAGAAAAAGATTCTCTACCATTTCATAAGAAAAAATAAAATTATTTTTTGAAAATTCTTGGACACTGATGCACACTTTGAAATTTGGCCTTTGGACCCTGAAAGGGTTAAATACTGACGCCTCATAAATATTACCGCATTTTCTGGCTTATAAGACGTGGCTTACAAGTCTTGTTTTAGTTTCAATGGCTCGACATTGGGCATAACTGGGAGAGCTACAGCCCATCCCGCACCACACTGACCTTTAGTTTATAGGATACAGGGTGTTTCTGCAGACATTTTATGTAAAAAAAAAAAAAAAAAAAAAAAAAAAAAAAAAAAAAAAAAAAAAAAAAAACGTGTCTAATAAGCCACAAAATAGGGCAAGTTTTCACACCTCAATGTATCAAATCCCAAACCACTTACCTCCCTTTACCTTAATCTACTGTAACTCATTATGGTTTTTCACCTAAATGTTCAAGTCTCCTCACACTACCTACAACTCTTCAAGATACCCCTACACTGATTTTTGTCCTCCCTAGAGTTACACACCCTCTTTACCAATCTATCTTCCTCTTTTTCCATCTACATGGCCTACTCATTTAAACATCACCTGGTTACAGGAACCTGGTACAGTGTATATGTATACCAACAGAATGGAATAAGAACATTTTTGTAACTCTAGAACATTTTATTAGGAACAGTTTCACTCATGCAGTCACCAGAGAAGGCTGGCCTCAGGCCAGGCTTCACCAACCAACAAGTATGCCTCTCTCTCAAACCCTAGTCCTGATTTCATTTCAACATGACTCAAGTTCATCTGACTAAGTGCCCATTTTCTTGTGACAGTGCAAGACTTAAATTGAAAACTAGCCTTAGATATTCAATCAAAATACATTTACTGGATTTCCCATGCTCCAATCAGTTTAATTTCTATTTTTTATTTATTTCAATATAAACCAATTTGGTATGATACTTAAAGTGATGCTAGACCTGGATGATTGCTCAAGCACAAATTTATACCAAATATTATTTATTTGGTATAAATTTGTGCTTGATATTATTATTATTATTAATTATTATTATTATTATTATTATTATTATTTATGTGAATTCACAAAGTGAAAATGCATAAAACAAGGAGAAACCTATATACACAAATGTATTTTCATATATACAGGTATCCTTGATATTCAGTCACCGGTGAACCAAGAAGTACTGAATACAGTCACTAGCGGAAAGTGACGTCTACCAAACTGCCTAACCTAATTTAGCTTCCAGAAAACTAAGCCATAAATTATTGTAGTATTTAAAAAAATGTTTTATTGGGGTTAACTCAAGAGATTTTTGTAACCTAACTCTACATTTTCCATGTCTTTTGTATTTGTGTAGATAAAAAATATAAGCACAATTCAAGACAATTATTGAGGAAATATTTCACTACAAGTGGCTTTATTATACTGTGAATATTTAGGTGGCACAGAAGTGAATTACCATGCTGAGTATAAACAAAATAAAAATTATCATCATTTGATGAATGACTCAATTTACTGCTGCAACATGATGAATGCCCCTCAATGAAAATAATGTAGCTATACATAACTGTAGTTGTTTATTAGCTTTATTATGCAGCCTACACCCATCCTGTAGGTAAAAATCAAAAAGATTTCAGAGGCACATACCTGATCCAGAACCAAATGTAACATGGAGCTGTACATACCATAATAAAATATTTGGACATTTCTTGGACATTTATGAGTAAACTGCCTTTATATCCCTTGATTTTTTAACATTCAAGAACATAGTGGTGTGTGAGAAGAGTTCTACTGACAAAATTTGCACTTAGTTCAGTCTACACAAGCTGGTGGTATAAACCCCCCAGAGATATCTGTAGTCCAGTGGCCTGGTAGTCATCACACTCACCTCACACACAGTGTCCATGGTTCAATCTCTAGACCTGCTGTCACCATTCACCTAACAAGTAGGTACCTGGGAGTTACACAACTGGTGTGGGTTGCATCCTGGGGGACAAGACTGAAGGACCCAATGGAAATAATACAGTCCTCAATGACGCAGTGACTTTCTTGGGTTATCCCGCGTGGCTAACCCTCCGTGGTTAAAAATCCAAGAAAAATCTTATCTTAAGCCTGCCGAGTTTGATGGATGTGTCAAACAAATCTTATAAGTAGAGTCAAACAAAGAACCACTCAAAATATTATACAGAAATTTAGTGGCTAAATAAAAATAAATCATTGAAGACTCTGCAAAGCAATAAAGTGTACACTGAACCAGAGAACTGTTACACAGCAATATTTAGTGCACAATGCAACCCAAGATAAGAAGTGCCCCATGCAAAAGAATACAGCAGTATATACAAAGAAATTCAAAATGTTTCCATTCTTACCTGATTCTCTAGCTCCTCAACCTTACTCAGGGCCAATGAACCGAGGCCCTGTTTCCACTCTGAGGCCGAGCCAAACCAACTCATGGTAAGACCCAGTCAACAATCATTCCCACCTGTTAAAATAGGATAAATAATTAATACAAAGTACAGTACTGTAGCTACACCAAAAATGTAATAGGTTTATATTAGCAAATTACAGCAAAAATTAGGTAAGTCTCCTTATTACTGTACTGTCACACAAGAGTAAGTGCTAAACCCATAGGCTATACAGAGAATGGGATACAAGTAATCAGTTATGAATGAGGGAAAAGTAGCTCAATTCACTAGATCAACAGCCCTTCAACATCAAAGCAACTCCTCCCCCTTAAATGGGAGAAGTACATTATCCCCTACTTAACTGCCATTCACATAAAATAATTCTGAAAGACCAAAAAAACTCTAGGACCATTATCCCACCTAACAACTGCCTCTTCCTTATTCAAGAACCAATTACAATTTATCACCTCAGGTGATAAACTAACTGGTTCTTGAGCTAAATCTACCATTTCCTGCATTAGTCATTAACAGTGTTTTCATAGCTTCTGCATCATTAGTTAAAAAGTGAGAAAAATGGGAATAATGTTTATATAAATGAATTGTTAATCAACCCAGAAGAAACAGTCTAATCATCTCAGAGAGAGAAAGGAATAATGTCATGCCATTATATATTATACTTTCTACCACTCCTCTCTTCCCTCACCAGAGATTTCATAAAGGCATAGTATGCTATAGTTACCCCCAGTTTTATGAGAGCACATTACATGTACTAACCATACCACGGGCAGGGATAGAACCCATGATCAGAAAGAAAACTCCAGACAGATGCTCTGATTACGGGTTCTATCCCCTCCCATGGTATGGTTTGTTTGCAATCGTGTCATTACGATTTCGTGAGTCGGCGCAATACTACCTATTTTTTTTTTTTCAACAAACCGGCCGTATCCCACCAAGACAGGGTGGCCCAAAGAGAAAAACAAAAGTTTCTCTTTTTAAATTTAGTAATTTATACGGGAGAAGGGGTTACTAGCCCCCTTGCTCCCGGCATTTTAATCGCCTCTTACGACACGCATGGCTTATGGAGGAAGAATTCTGTTCCACTTCCCCATGGAGACGAGAGGAAATAAACAAGAACAAGAACTAGAAAGAAAATAGAAGAAAGCACAGAGGGGTATGTATATATATGCTTGTACATGTATGTGTGGTGTGACCTAAGTGTAAGTAGAAGTAGCAAGATGTACCTGAAATCTTGCATGTTTACGAGACAGAAAAAAGACACCAGCAATCCTACCATCATGTAAAACAATTACAGGTTTCCATTTTATACTCACTTGGCAGGACAGTAGTACCTCCCTGGGCGGTTGCTGTCTACCAACCTACTACCTAGCGCTTCATTATAATCAAATAATAAAGCGCTAAACCAACAAGGGTCTTGCAGCACTGCAGGGCAGAAAATAGTGCTGGAGCTATAAACAGCTAGGTGGAGAGGGGATCAGAGGTAAGGGTAGAAAAGGGCTGAAAGGGAAGCTAGGAGTGATGCATCTAAGTTTCTATAGTAAAGCAGTTGCTTTACTATACAAACTTGATCATAAGTCAAAGGCAAGACCATCTTCAAGAAGGGAAGATAAGGCAAGAGCAGTTTGGTGGCAGTGTCGGAGGGAAATCCTGCGAGCTCGCTGGTAAACCGGACAATCCACAAGAACACAGAACCAAAATAGGGACCCCAACAACCCTCACAGAGAGGAATAGGGTGTTGTTCCACGAGATACCCATGGATAAGGCGAGTGTGGCCGATGCGGAGACGAGAGCGCAGTCTTCCAGGAACAGCAATGGTGATAAGAAGATGGCCACAAATCTAAAAGCGGTTTAATAGAGTGCAATTTGTTATGGAGCACGTCTGACCACCACTGTTGCCAACGGCTGCGAAGATGGGCAGAGATAACTATAAAAAATCCCTGAACGGAATACCTCTATAGGAAACCGGAAGGTCGTGTACTACTGACTGCACAGCAGCATCCACCTCTTCACTGTCCTGCACATCGTGTCCAGGGACCCAACAGAAAATGACGATTTGTTTTTGTTAGCCACACGGCGCAACCAAAGTTGAATACGAAGGACCAGTGGATGAGGGGAATCAATTGTTTAAGGGCTTGTAAAACACCGAGGGACTCTGAAATGATCACAAATGCTGGAGGAGACGTATGTAATACAGAGAAGCACTACAAGGACTGCCTACAACTCTGCAGTAAAAATGCTAGCCAAATCTAACGAATGACCCTGGACAACACTGTCAGGGAACACCGCCACGAACCCAACACCGTCAGAAGATTTAAAACCATCTGTATAAACAGCAGTAGCATGCGCATGTGACCAGAAGTGATCAAGAAAAAGAGCGAGAAGCAGCCATAGGCAGGAAAGCTTTGGCGCACGGTAGTAGGGGAGAACAGACATGAACCGTCGGAACCTCCCAAGGACGAAGGGTAAAGGTAGACGCTATATGAACATACAAGGGGGAGAACTGGAGAGAAGATTGGAGTGAGTGAAGACAAAGAAGAACGGTCAGAGTAAGAAGGGGTGTCAAACAAATAATGGGCTTCTACCAGCATCTGAGACCAACTTATACATAGAAGGAACACGAAGGTCAAGCGAGCGGACACAGTAATGAGAGCAATGAGCATCATGACGATCGGCTAAGGAAGGAACATTTGCCTCAGCACAGAGGCTTTCAACAGTGAATGAACGAAAGGCACGAAGGCATAAACGTACACCCTGATGATGAAGGGGATCCAGCTTAGAAAGAGTCGTAGAAGCCACAGAATAGACTAGGTTGCCATAATCCAGCTTGGACAAGACTAGGGTGAAATGCAAACAGAGGGGAGTCCAGCGATCTGCTCCTCACGAGCGATGCACAAGAATTTTAAGGAGATTCAGCTGACCACAGCAAGCTGCCTTCAAAGAGGAAATGCGAGGTTTCCATGTCAACTGGCGATCGAATAGAAGGCCAAGAAACTTTACTGCAATACTACCTACAACTATAAATTTTATCAAAATAGATCTTTTTTTCTTGTTCTTGAGTCGGAGGCTTACTACAGTATATCACAGTGAATGGTGTGTATATTGTATACATAGAATATAATAATAATAATAATAATAATCTTTATTTACTACAAGTACATGTACATGGTATACAGTCCTAGCTGACAACAATGACATACTACTAGATAGAAAGCCACTTGTTATGCTCAGCATCTCGGGCAAATTAGGTCAGTGTCCCTGGATGCGACCCACACCAGTCGACTAACACCCAGGTACCCATTTTACTGATGGGGAACATAGACAACAGGTGGAAAGAAACACGCCCAATGTTTCTACTCTGGCTGGGAATCGAACCCAGGCCCTCGCCGTGTGAAGCGAGAGCGTTAACCACCAGGCCACCAGAGCCACCAGAGTGGTTAAAGAGGTTCAACAGACATCTGTGTTGAACAAGCGAACAGAGCTTGATATTTAGTTTTATATTACTGAGCAATAAGCAAAATATGTAAACACCGATAAAAGGTGTAACCAACATAATCCACAAAAAAAAAAAAAAAAAAAAAAGGGGAAAAAAAAAAAAAAAAAAAAAGGGAAAAAAAAAAAATTACCTTCAAGTGGTAAGAATGCACGTTCCCACATGACAATTACCAGCATCACTTCAAACCTTTACATCCTCAAATACCTATCAGAATTCACTTATTTTTTGTCTCATTTCAAATCTAAAACTGGGAAGAACTTTTTGGTAAGAATTTTTTTCCAACTGTTGAGCAAACAGTATGAAATTAAACCAAACAGTGAAATTCACCTAAACAAACCTAAAAAACCTAAAACAACTTAACCTTACTCCATCATCAGTGTTTGTTTACATCCTCTGCATCTTTGTTTACATTTGCTGTGATTGCTAAGGCCACAATATTAAGTGTTGACTGGGTCTCTCACATTCCATGGGAAAAAAATAATCTGCCCGATTACTACAATCAAAACCAAGTGCTAAACCCACAAGGGTAGAATCTGCCTAATAAGCGAGCGTCATAAGGTGGGGGCAGGCTGCCCCGGGTGACACCATAGAGCCTCTAAAGAAGGTAACACTAATGACCAAAACCATGCTGCAGCAACCTAAGAGAAAAATCCTTCGTTTCTATATAGCCTATTATAGGATTAGATGATGATGTGATGGATGATTTTGCAGGATTGAAGGCAAGGAAATGAAATGTCAGATTCTTTGAGATGTTACCTGTACTCAAGGTTAAATTGGAACTAGTATTTTTCTTTATTTTTCAAGTTTTTTTTTTTTTCATTATTGAAGACGAATAAATGTAGGATCTGTTCCCTATATTCAAAGTGGCATTTGAGTTTATATTTCGTCAATATTACTATGATTATTTACTTCATCATTAATAAAGTTCGGTTGATGGCCTTCAAAATGTTCTCATTGCTAAACATTAGTCACTGGTCATGCAGCAGTGATATAACTGAAGTTTACTACCCTTATCCCCCCGCCCTTGTATTTCATGGGGGCGACACCAAAGATTCCGCCCCCAGGCGACACCAACCCTAGTGATGCCTCTGCTAATGAATATATTTCAATGTGCAGATAGCTTCTATTATAAAATATAAAATGCCCAATTTCTGCTTATGAGCATCTTTCAGTTATAACCACCTGATCTAACCTAACCAATAAACTGGTTGTTATCCAGAGTGCCAAGTCAATAGCCTTTAACATGCTGCTAGTTACCTGGCTGTCAAGCAAACATATGCTTCCTTACTACAAAATAAATTATGGGGGAAGCACTAAGCTCATAGGGGTTACACAGTACCTGGGGAATGCGAGGTAATTATGTTAGATGCAAGGAAGAGAAGCACTAATTCCTTAAATCAAGAGCCTTACACCAGCATCAAGAAACTTCCCTTTTAAGATCAGCAATTAATGTTGTAGACATGAAAATTGAAGCTAAAATTGACCAAATTACAAGGACCTCAACAAAAATAAGCAAACAATTGACTAAGTAAGTTACCCTACATTTATTTACACAAGTTACTACTGTATACAAGACTTTTGTATATCTTTTAATTTGTATATTGACCATTAATAAAAACTACTTCACCAATGTTGTACATCCATTGGAAGCAAGTCACTGGTTTAATTTTTTGGTTATCCTAATAAATTTACACTATGATAATTGTACTTATGTGTACCTATACCAATTATTATAAGCAAAATAAAACTCTAAACCCACTAGGGTCATACAGTGCTGTGTACCTATACACAAACTATCTGGAAACGAGTCACTGACTTTTTTGGGTTATCCCAGGTTCTCTACACACATGTTGCTATGTATGATAATCTATATAACTATTTGTCTATACCTGAATAAACTTACAATCATTTGAAATGAAATCTATTCATAGAGGGAATTATTATTATTATTATTATAATCAAGGGGAAGCACTAAACCCGGAGGATTATACAGCGCCTGGGGGGGGGGGAAGGCATTCAGGCTTAATTCGGGGAACTGGAGCACAGATCCAATTCCCTAAATCAAGAGCCCCTCACCAACATCAAGGAACCTTCCTTGAGGGGATTCATAGAGGGAAGCGCTAAATCTGTACGAGTTATACAGCGCCTGGAAAGAGGGAGTAGGAAGCAAGTAGGTTTGATGCAAGGTAAGAGAGGTCAGGATCAATACCTTGGATCAAGAGCCCCTCCCCTGGATCAAGGATGTTGCCCTCCAGGACACAAATTATATATTAAAATCCATCACCTTCCACGGGCACCTCCGTGTATTTTAATGTTTAAAAAACACCACAAAACTAACGAGTGGACTCGTGCTCAAACATACATGAACACTGCATAACGAAGGAAAATCCGGAATACAATAAATGACGTGAAAAAAATAAACAAAATGAAGGTATTAATATCGGTTGTGGTGAGATTTAAAGAGCCAGGCAGTGATCAGTTAATATCTGGTCATAAACAAGTTTAATGTGAGCCTGGAGCTACACCCACACCTACACCACCCACACCTGTGGTGTAAGTAGGTTGATGCAGTGTGTATATAGGTAAAAATACTCACTAATATAGAGAGAGGAAGTTGACAGGTGCTGCCTGACACTCACAGTTCAAAACACTGAAGCTGCAACCTCATTGGTCCATCACATCACTATGACCAACCCTACCAACAACAAATATATTGTTCATTTAAACCAAACCACTTCATTTTCAATAGAGAGAAATGACAAAGAAACATGAAGATTTATAAAAAAATAAGTTGTTTTGTAAGTCAAACAAATTTTAATCACAAAGAATATATTCACTTTAAGTGATATTTGTAGCGTTGGCTCTCCTGGTGGTGTAATGGAGTGTTAGTGTTCAAATGAGCGAAGTTTGTGCGCACTCTTATATATCACTGTATGGCACCATACTAAACTATATTCACTTTCAAAATACAGTTTCGGAATTATACAATTGACTTAGAGAGTATCTTAAGTGTTAATTAACCTAAAAAACTCAGTAAAGTGAAAGACGACCTATTTCCGCTGGAGGTCTCTAGTGTAACTTCCAGAATAAAAAGTTATTATTATTATTATTATTATTATTATTATTATTATTATTATTATTATTATTATTATTATTATTATTATTACTAAGTAAGTAAAGATGGTTGTAACAGTTACTACCACCTCTTTTCATTCATTCACTCTTTCGTTACTCTCTGGAAAAAATTAGCAGCCTTTTTATCTCCAACAATTTCCATCTTTGTCATCGACACCATGCCTAACCCTTCTAGGGTAGGGTAGGTGCCTGAGCCCGAGCCTTTAGCTCATAAGACTGTCATTCCCATTAGCCCCCCTTGGGGCGGGGATGGCAGACCCCAAAGATGAGGAGGTACTTGTGCCTCCTCTCATGGCAGACTTAGGTCTCAAACACTCCCTAAAGAGGGAGTCAAGGCCGGGCCACCACTTGGAAAAGGCCCGGGCTGGGAGAATACCGGCTAATCTTTAATAATAATAATAATCCATCTTTGTGTTGAAGATATCTGGAAATGTTCGTTATAAATATAGGAAATGATAATGCTTTATTTCTGTGAGCATGCAGATAATGAAGATATATGAGTCAAAGTAAAACAGCAGACACCCAAGAAAACCACTAATTATGCAATGCATTTCGGGTGAGCATGTAGAAAATATTGTAAGTTTATTTAGGTACACGTACACATAAATACAGTAACACAAATTATCATATATAAGAGAACCTTCACGGCGCGCATAACGGAGATAAAACACCTCAATTACTGGGAGCGCTTGAGGTTCCTGAACCTGTATTCCCTGGAACGCAGGCGGGAGAGATACATGATTATATACGGTTTAGAAAGACACGTAAGCAAACACTATAACATATTTATTAGAAAACGTTTCGGTCCTGGGACCTTGATCACTTCTAACATACAGAGGTAGATAGACATTATATATATAGGCGGAGAGTGAGATGTGACGCACGTGACCTGAGGAATGTCATAAGAACATAAGAATGGAGGAACACTGTAGAAGGTCCACTGGCCCATGCGAGGCAGGTCCTTATCAAAACAACCTCTACCTATGATGAGGACGGGTAGACGATGAAATCATATGACTCCTGTGTTGTTGGGTTGGTGCTGCTTAAGTATCATGTATGCCAATGTTTCTGAAGTGGAACGAGGCACAACTCGTTCTCACCGAACCAGACCTCAGACGCCGACGGTGCCTAGAAGCCTCAATAATCGCCGTCACAGACACTATAGAACGCAACACTGGAAACTACAAAATTTCAAAAACATTGGCATACGTGATACTTAAGCAGCACCAACCCAACAACACAGGAGTCACATGATTTCATCGTCTACCCGTCCTCATCATAGGTAGAGGTTGTTTTGATAAGGACCTGCCTCGCATGGGCCAGTGGGCCTTCTACAGTGTTCCTCCATTCTTATGTTCTTATGACATTCCTCAGGTCACGTGCGTCACATCTCACTCTCCGCCTATATATATAATGTCTATCTACCTCTGTATGTTAGAAGTGATCAAGGTCCCAGGACCGAAACGTTTTCTAATAAATATGTTATAGTGTTTGCTTACGTGTCTTTCTAAACCAACTTGTCGGTATTTATTACCAAAGTTTATACCATGATTATATACACCTGGAAAATCCTAGAGGGACTAGTACCGAACTTGCACACGAAAATCACTCACTACGAAAGCAAAAGACTTGGCAGACGATGCAACATCCCCCCAATGAAAAGCAGGGGTGTCACTAGCACGTTAAGAGACCATACAATAAGTGTCAGGGGCCCGAGACTGTTCAACTGCCTCCCAGCATACATAAGGGGGATTACCAACAGACCCCTGGCAGTCTTCAAGCTGGCACTGGACAAGCACCTAAAGTCCGTTCCTGATCAGCCGGGCTGTGGCTCGTACGTTGGTTTGCGTGCAGTCAGCAGCAACAGCCTGGTTGATCAGGCTCTGATCCACCAGGAGGCCTGGTCACAGACCGGGCCGCGGGGGCGTTGACCCCCGGAACTCTCTCCAGGTAAACTCCAGGTAATATATGCAAATAAGGTCACAGTAAACAGGTAATATCACAATATGCAGAATAACCACTGTGAAAAATGTGAGAAATCACGAAAGTACCTGGAGTTTACCTGGAGAGAGTTCCGGGGGTCAACGCCCCTGCGGCCCGGTCTGTGACCAGGCCTCATGGTGGATCAGAGCCTGATCAACCAGGCTGTTACTGATGGCTATTTTTTCATAATGGTTGTTCTGCATAAATAACATATGTGTAAATTACTTAGGATAACTAAAAAACAAACAGACAAAGTGACTTATTTCCACTAAGATCCTTGTGACAGGAACTCATTCATACATCAACTTGCACCTCTAAAAAGCATTTACATTACTTAAAACATTTTGGAGGTGGGCGCCGCCCATTACATATAATGCAGAAAATAGCGAAGCATCAACATTCACACATGTAACTCGTTAAAAAGTATTAACATATAATTCATTAACTACATATAAAAGTATAACTCATTAATTACATATACACACATAACTCGTTAGCTACATATAAATATATGACTCATTAACTACGTGCTGGGAACGTTTGAACTCCCTCTACTTGTACTGAGAGTAAGACACATGTGCAACATCTGGGTATCTTTATTGTAGACGTTTCGCCATCCAGTGGCTTTATCAATACAAATTCTAGGACATAACTTGTAATAAAGTTGGTAGAATTACCGACAATATGTAAAGTAAAAGGACACAAGTGCAACTAATGTGACATTTATTGTGGCAACGTTTCGCGAAACGTTGCCACAATAAATGTCACATTAGTTGCACTTGTGTCCTTTTACTTTACAGGACATAACTTGAAGACAGTAGAACTATGTACAGAAGATGAGGTAATCAGTCCCTCAAACTAGGAGTAGGTGCGAACAGCACCATAGTCGTGGAGATTCTGAAGCAGAAGAAAGAATCCTGGCGCTTATATAGTAACGTCAGGTGTAGCAGACGAGGGCATATTCACTGGTAGGCGGGATTCCCCAGTGGAAGTAGGTCCTTCCCAAAGAGATGGGTTAGTTGTAGAAGTAGTTGTAGAAGTAGTTATGTACATGTCCATCAATCTTGATTCAAGATTGATGGACTGACCACATCGACTCAAGGTTGAGGGACTGATTACCTCATTCTCCTCCTGTTCTTCAAGATTCTCCTTTGTATGGACTGATGAAGCCACTGTGTGGCGAAACGTTTCCTCAATAAAGATACCCAAGAGTTGCACATGTGTCTAATTTATCTCCAAGTAATCTGTTGGCCTTGTTGCGCACACTAAGGCACTGCTGTCTTGGCTTTAGATTTCTGCTTACCATGACTCCCAAGTCTTTTTCACATTCTGTATGATCAAGCTCTACTTCACCTAGATTATAGCTTCGAGGGTTATTTTCATTATCAAGGGCAAGTACCTTACACTTATCGACATTGAACTTCATCTGCCATTTTTCAGACCAAGATATTAATTTGTCCAAATCCTCCTGGAGTTCATTGCTATCCTCCTCAGAGTAAATTATACGGCCTATCTTTGTATCATCAGCAAACTTACTCATGTCACTAGCAATCCCTTCATCAAGGTCATTAATGAACATTAAAATGGTATAAAATACCGACAGGTTGTTAGGTAAGACACATATGCAACAGTTAGGTATCTTTATTATGAAACGTTTCGCCTACACAGTAGGCTTCTTCAGTCAAGTACAGAAAAGTTGATAGAAGCAGAAGATACTTGAAGACGATGTAATCAGTCCATCACCCTTAAAGTTTTGAGGTGGTCAGTCCCTCAGTCTGGAGAAGAGCATTGTTCCATAGTATGAAACATAGTATGAAACAATATTGTTTCATACTATGGAACAATGCTCTTCTCCAGACTGAGGGACTGACCACCTCAAAACTTTAAGGGTGATGGACTGATTACATCGTCTTCAAGTATCTTCTGCTTCTATCAACTTTTTTGTACTTGACTGAAGAAGCCTACTGTGTAGGCGAAACGTTTCATAATAAAGATACCTAACTGTTGCATATGTGTCTTACCTAACAAGGTCATTAATGTAAATTATGAACAAGAGAGGGCCTGAACATTAAAATGGTATAAGAGGGCCTAAAACTGATCCTTTGCAGATGACACCCGAATCTGCATGACAGTGTCCTTCATTGCAGACACTGCAAGGCTCCAGGCGGACATCAACCAAATCTTTCAGTGGGCTGCAGAAAACAATATGAAGTTCAACGATGAGAAATTTCAATTACTCAGATATGGTTAACACGAGGAAATTAAATCTTCATCAGAGTACAAAACAAATTCTGGCCACAAAATAGAGCGAAACACCAACGTCAAAGACCTGGGAGTGATCATATCGGAGGATCTCACCTTCAAGGACCATAACATTGTATCAATCGCATCTGCTAGAAAAATGACAGGATGGATAATGAGAACCTTCAAAACTAGGGAGGCCAAGCCCATGATGACACTCTTCAGGTCACTTGTTCTATCTAGCCTGGAATATTGCTGCACACTAACAGCACCTTTCAAGGCAGGTGAAATTGCCGACCTAGAAAATGTACAGAGAACCTTCACGGCACGCATAACAGAGATAAAACACCTCAATTACTGGGAGCGCT